CCATTGCCAAAAGATCCTACATTCTAGCCTTTGCTTGTATTATCCATGTCTGCCATAACCTTATTACAAATAATATATCTTGGGTTCATCAGTGGCAAAGTATTTTCTTAAACAATACTGACCAAAAAAAGAAGAGATAAATCTTACTAACCTTATCCCAGATGAAACCAGGATCATACTGTATGGTATATAAGTCTTCCTATCATAGTCCCTTGACATGCAGCCTAACTTTGTAGGGAATAATATCAGACAACACAGCAAAGCCTTATTATAGCAGATTGGACAGAATCAGACAGCCACACATACTGTAGATATCTGGGATCATGAAAGCAGCTATGTGTTGTACGGGTTGTCATTACATTGTCAAACAAGGTGAGAGAATGTGTATAAAAATGTTAAGCTGTCCATCTGTTTGGGCCCTTTGAGGTGTGACATGGTGGCTGTGACACACTTTGCAAGATAACAAGACAGGGTAGAAATTGTCATACCCAGCTCTCAGTTATGCTCCTGACACATGAGTGCTGTTGATCATGCCATTATCAAGTTAATATTATGCAGCCAGACTGTTGCATAAGGGCGGTGTGAAAATTTAATCAATGATCAGTCTATTCCACCTAACTCATGTCAGTGTGTAATTTACATCTCTCTGTTGTAGATGGTAAGAAATAGTTTTAACTTTCAGTTAGTTTTGATTAAAATTCTGCTTGTTTGCTTTGACATTTTTGGACTATTTAAAAAAAACATTTGTTTTACTCAAATTTTTTAAGCTGTTAAAAGTTATAATGTGTCTTAATAGCAACACTGAAGGCATTAATTTGCTGTTTATGTAACAAAGTGCTCAGAGATAATAGTTTCATCATAAACAGATTTCCCTTAGATTGTTTCAAAATTATATTCACGCTCTTTGGTTCTGTCCACCAGTTCAGAAGTTTTGGCGCGAGATATGTGAAGACTTATCAAAGTGTCTGAAATGTAACATTCCAACTTCCCCTTTAGTGTGTTTGTTGGGCAGCTTAGATTATGTCACTACAGAAAAGAATATAGCCCATTTGGTTTTCACTGCCCTATGTATAGCCAAGAAAACAGTCCTCATGAACTGGAAAAATAAAAATAATCTTAATTCTAACCAATATAGAAATTATCTATTAGATTACATTAGTCTTGATACAGCCTCTGCCACCACATCAGATCAATTGCTCTGGGCTCCTTTGATCAGCTCCATCACCTAGTGGGGGTGGGGGGTCATAGTTTGGTCCCCCTTCACTGTTGTGATTGGTGTGGGGGTAGGGACAGGCTTAGGGCGTCGGGGGGTTCCCCGGAGGCATCTTCCTTGGGGGGCTCAACCCGGGGTTGCGGTCATGGCCTGTTAACCCTTTAAGACCTACCATAGAACCAAGTCCGCCAGAGCTTATATTATATTTTTACATGCTGTGGAGCCATTTTTGGGAGCATTTCAAGTTGCTATACATCAATACAACCATTATAGCCCAATTTTAATAATATGTATTCATTAAGTGCATAGTAATTACATAAATTGCAAAAAAGTGCAATAAACTACAAAAAAATTGAAAATCGTTTTTTTTTTTTTAAACATATATTTGTAGTTAGAGGAGAAATTTTAAGAGGCTTATACCCTCACACCACTTAATAAAAAACCTGTTGAGCAAATAAGAATATCCACTTTAAAACTATCGCAGAAACAACATAATTATTCCAAAAAAGGATTTATCTTGAAGTTCAGTTATTATCTGATACCCATTTAGTACTACAGAACACAAATTATTTTTGAAATACACCAATTTTTATACACTGCAGGAAAAACGAAAATAAATATTATACTGCAAATTTGCAAAAAAGCAGCATATGCATCAAAATAAACTATTTCCAGCAGTGCAATATGAGTCCTAAGCATCCCAGAAACGACACAGAAAGTCATAAAGTCAAAGATAACTTTTAAAAAGAGCAGTATAGGCCCTGAGGCCCTGATCGCAAAAAAGACTACATTTCAATGCGTCACTCCGGTTTCGGGCAGGTAATGGCGGAAATGCAAAAGTTCGCGCTGACGTCTATTCCAACGTAGGAAGTGTTTATGAACAGCTGATCGGATCGGCAAAGCGTGTTTCTGGAATATTATGTTTTTGTTCCTGCAAGCGCTTTTTATGCAGTTTTTGCAAAGCTTTATGTGGAAGGAAACCGTGACCTAGGACAAGCTGATGGCATAAGATGTAAGTACAACTCCTCCGGTTTCATATGCAAAAAAAATTTTTGCGCTAGCTTACGTGGTTGCAGTGCTACCGGGATTTAAAAATAGTTACGCATAACAGAGCGTTCCCGCTCCGATCGGCTCTAAAGGGTTAAGGGCTCTGTTGGCTCTTAGGTGACGGTTTCCTCGTGGCTGCGTGCAGCGGGGCTAGGGGAGGGTCTGTGCTGACGGACGTGGGTTACTGACCTGGGAGCCTGGCTGTCCCTGGTTGTGTCCAGGGCAGGCGGGGTTCTGGGGGTGCTCCGTCTCTGGGCTGGGGCCATGGCTGGGCCTTGGGGGCTTTGGTCCTGGTTGGTGTGTCGCCAGGGTTGTGGGCGTGTGGGTGCATGGGGGCTCAGCCTTGGCGCAGGGTGCCGCCGGTGCATCAAGCCCCCTGGGGGGCTCTTCAACTGGTGGGGGAGGCTTTTACATCTTACAGGATGTCTCCTCTCTCCAGGAAGTGACTCTGTAGGTGGGGAGAAATATAGGAGAGGTGGAGGAAGATCTCAGCCTGGGCGTCTATTGTCTTGTGCAGTTTGGAAGATGAATGGATGACGGGGTGGGTGCAGTTTTCTCTGTGGTGGGGTCAGGTGGGCTGTCCCGGGCTCTGTGGGGCCGGGCGGCACTGCTGTACTGGGTCCTGGTCGGGAGGGGCCTGGGCCCCCTTTTCCCTGGCAGGTTGCAGAGTATGGGGGTGCCTACTGGGGTCAGCGTGGGAGCTGGCCCCAGGGAGGGGTCACTTGCCCCTCCCTTCCTTCCCTCCCCATCTCCAGCTTCCTCCCCCTTCCCGCTCCACCACAATCACCCGCACATGCAGGGCCTTGGGGTAAAGATGTGTCACCAAGGTGCAGGGGAGGCAACCCCCCCCTCTGTCCCCTTCTGGCTGTCTCTGCCTCAATTTTATCCCACAACTTAGACATTCACATTACTCACACTCTCATAACACATACATATAGGATCTTGGGGGTGGGCACGCTACACGTCATCCAGAAGACTATCAGGGTGTACACCTCACCCCTGGCGTCGTTGCCCACCTCTCAATTTTAAATACATGTAGACATTGAGGGCTATCAGGAGGGGCTATGCGCTTACCTGCTGCTCTCTGGCAGGTAGCTCCATGCCCTCCTGGGTTTTAAAGGCACCTTAGAACACACATGCATCAACACTACATAAGAGTGGGCGGAGGGAGGTTTGGAGTCTTCACACCCCCCCATTCTCTGTGGGGCCTCCCTGCTGCTGCCGAGTCGGGGCGGTCTGCTTCTCCCCACCCCAGGGAAAAGGGTAACACCACCTGGGTCTGGGTGCAGTTTCCTCCTCCAGGGGCAAGGGTACATAGACCCGGGGCTTAGAGTACGCTTGGGGAGTGTGAATGTATGTACAGTGTCTCTTTATGTCTGTCCCCACGTTGGGTGAGTGCTGAGTAATTGCATATGAGAGCATGAGGGTGGGAATGGATGTTTGTATCTGTGTGTGCCTGTTTGTCTGTGTCCATATGTCAGGTTGGGTATCAGACGCCGCCTCTCTAGGCCCTCCATGGTATGGAGGCCTATCTCCCCCCACCACTCCCCCTGCCAGTGGCAGACGCCCTCAGACATCGGTGCGTTGGTGGTTCTTTGTGTTCGGGGATGGGCGTCCAGGTACTCACCGGCTCACTTCTGGTGGGTGCTTGTCGGAGCCTGGGGCTCGCTCGGGCTCCTTCGGGGGTGGGGTGCCCTCGGCCTGGGGCTCGGTCACTCTGGCACAGCTGGCTGCGGCGGAGCTTACAGGCACGTCACTGCAACCCCCCCTGGCTTCTGCTCCACGGCTGCTGAGTGAGCCCTCATCTGGGACTCTCCTCAGCTCTTACTGGGACAGTGGCGCGGCTGCCCCTCTGTTGGTCTTCCTTGGTCTCTTGTGTTCTGGGGGCCTCTGGATGTCTGGAGTTTTGATCTCCTCCATACCTGCTTCATGCCCTGGAGGACGGGGCTGTGGCTCCCCCACATCCTCTAGCAGATCATTACATGAAGGAACCTGTTAAATACAAGCGCGCTCACGCTCACAGGTGTACACACGGGTGCTCACACACACAAACTACACTCTTTTTGGCTGCTACCTCAAAGCACACTGTGCGCTGTCGATCTTACGTGCTGCACAATAATATTTAATATTTAGTATTTACTGTCATATTCACATAGATCATCGCGATGATGTTGTTTATTATATTGCTCTCTTTTTCTTTGCTTGTTATCTCTTTTTTTTCTTTCTCAACAGGTGATCCAGGTGACTGATATGTGTATTTTTTGTCTGTTTGTTTTGTTGGTTTTTGCCCTTTATCACCGCCCCTCTTCCCCGCTCTTTTTCTTTCCCTCTTTCTTTCTCCCTTTTCTTTTGTCCAGTCAAGTCTGTCCCGTGTTCAGCAAATGAAAACAAAATAAACAATAAAAGCAAAGGTGAATCAAATAGACCATTACGGCAAGGCTGGGATGGTCCATTTGGTAAAGTAAATCCATTGGGTGTCTTTCTTTGCCTTTAGACAACAATTCTGATGGCAAAAAAACCAAACGGGACAGTCAAAGAAAAAAAAAGAACCTCCACGATCACAAGAATCATTTTTATTGTGTTTTCTAGTAAATCTTGCTATAAATAAGATCCTAAATAATCTTAAACACTGTTTAGCTTAATCTTTTTGGATGTTTATTCAACATTCAATTGTAATTACCCAAAAACGTGGCCATTATTAGCTGTCCCTTACTCTCTCTTTTTTTTTTTTGTAATACAGCCTTCCCAAACAAGACCCGGGTGGCTATATTGGCAGAGCTAGAAAAGGAAAGGAGGCGACTGATGCAGAGTCAGTCCATGAATACTCCTGGAGCCAGGTAGGTGTAGTATAGCATAATCCAAGTAACAGAAGGGGGGGGTATTAAGTCTGTGTGTAAAGCTTACCTGGGACATTAGTATGTGTCATGATCTGATGTCCTCGTGTTGGCATTGGTCCTACAACATCATAATTACTGTTGCATATGGACCATCAACTACAACGGTGATGCAAAAACATGAAAGAGGTCATCCAAGGACAGGACACACGCAAGTTATGAAGGTAACTTTGGTTCTGTGAATTCCCAGACATCAAGTTGGAGATGTCTCCTTGCACTGCATGCAGGTTGAGATACCATGTTATAGCCTACATCCAGTCTCTAGGAAGCTTCTTGAGCCGAGATGTTCAGAGTGACCAGCATGACTGGCAGTTTCCCGGGAATTCACAGAACCATATTTACCTCTTTCAGTTTAACTCCCACCTTCCTGCCAGTAGCATTAAACAAGATGGCTGGCTTGTATCGGCAGTGCAATAAGGAACAACAGCTGGACACTGTTGTACAGATTTCCCCTTGTGAAACACGTTTCATTGCCATCCGAGATGTGGAGAGACTCCTGACAAATGTGGCAAATAACATCTGAGGGAACAGGTGTGCTCACCACTCCATATGCTTATTTTATTGTAAACAGTCCAGTGGGAAAGTCGATTTTTTTTGGGACACAGCTTTTCCCCTGTTGTTTCAGTTATAACATATTAAGAGATGCTCCGAGTGTGTAAAGCTCTGTGCTGCTTCAAATCCTGAAGCCTGAACTTTAATGCCCTCATTATTATGACAAGGCGCCAGTTGCCTTTTTCTTCTCTAATGTTATGACTTCACAACAATGTGACTGGACATTTGCAGCGATGGTCCTGGAACAATAATTATGATGATGTTAGAACACCAACATATAACCTGTCATTAGTCAGGCTTAAAGAGCCGAGTTCAGGCAGAACAAAAAAGACTTTGGTAATTTTCACATGCTTCCATGCCATCTTTTCCCCTTCAACACTGTAGCATCTCGCTGGCCCGGCCCAGTGTTAAGGACTTCAGGGACAACGCAGAACAGCAGCACATCGCTGCGCAGCAGAAAGCAGCCTTGCAGGTAAGACACCAGAAACGCTACTAGAAGTGCAACCACATTCAATAATAATTAAATAAACCAGCCCTGTGATTACCCCTCCTCATTATGAATCTTACAGTGATTACAAGCAATCCTACACAGCATACATTAGAAGGGCCTTTTGATAGGAGCCCAACTAATACTGGATTTATTTTTTATTTTTTTAGGTGTGTGGGGAGGGGGGGGCAGTGAGGTCATTGATCCTTAATGTTCCAGTCATTTATTTTACAAGTTTACTGCTTGACTCCACATCACTGTGTCCTCAGCTGTGATTACAGTTACAGTGATTACAGCTGGTGCTGAGCGTGTCAGAGCTAATCTGCTGGATAAACAAATGCCAGATCCCACATCTGTGATCTGAAATCCCAAATATTTTTACTAAGTGCTGGTGAATTAATCATTGGTTCAGGCATGCTGTCTCAAAGCTGCCTGATAGATCTGAGGGCAGCATTTCTTGTAAATTACAGTTACAAGAAAATACCAGTAAATACCAGCTGTGTATCACTTAGCAGTGCGTATGTGCTAATGTAGATTAGAGGTTAGATTTAAAAATGAGCTGCATTTAATCCTCCTTCTATATCATTAACAGTGGGAAATAACTATGATTTGTTATCAGGCTGTCAATATAAATTCAACCTCAACAAGTTAACTGATAAAACAGAATAAATGAAAACACAGATTCTTCATGTCATGCTGGTGCTGTGATTGCGTGTTTGGGTGGCCCTCCGCTGTCAAGCCTGTAGTTAACACCTTTATTTCTTTTCTTGCAGCATGCACATGCACATTCTTCAGGCTTCTTCATCACTCAGGACTCCTCATTTGGAAACCTCATCCTCCCAGTTCTTCCACGCCTGGAGCCCGAGTCTTGACGTTTTACATCCGATCTACCTTCTGGTGTGAGAGGCGCAGCTTTGGAACAAGCTGGGCGCACACCACGTCTCTCATCTTGGACAGCTGTTTGTGATGTCGTAAATGATCTCAGGGGAGTGTTAAATGACCTCTCTTATATTTTCATGACTAGGAAAGCTGGTTGCTGATTTTAGAAAACCTGCACAAGGGATCAGAAGACTGTTCTACATGGCCGTGAAACATTGCAGTAAAGGTTATATTTCGACTGTTTTCGTTCTGCTGTGGATAATAAAAATGTTGCATACATTAAAGATGATAACAGGAGTGCTTCTGGACTCTAACACACCCACTGATGTTCTTTGAGGGTGAAAGATATCAATTTAATAAATGGAGGAAAAAACTTTTTTTTGTGGTTTATTGTAAAACAGCCATAAGAAACACATTTTTTAGAACCTGATGAATTCTGAGCAGCTGAATCTGCCGTGAAAGTCAACAAGTGTCAGTTTCACGCTTCTGTTTCATAATCGCACAAGAAAAAAATCCACTAGACAGGAAGCACCCATGATGGTTGGAATACAGTCGACATATGATTTGAAGTCAATTATGTTAAAAGTCCTAAGGTGGTATTTTTCTCTGATTTTTTTTTTCTATACATAAAGTATGCAGAGGTTTTGTAGGCCTGTGCCTCAGGCAGCGCGAGCACCATACATGAAGCTGTCACTTTGACACAATGGGCAACAGTTCTCCTTTTGCCTTCATTGTTTTGATCTTGGCCTTAATGGTGTCGTCCATCGCCTGGCGGCAGCGGTGGGCGTAGTGTGCCAGCGTCTCCTCCTTCTCATCCCATGGCACCAGTGCGTGAAAAACCTCTGGAGCAGCCAGGCTGAGCTCCGCTATGGCCGCCGTGCGAGAGATTGTGTTGCGGTCCACACCGATGCGGTCAAACGCCACCTTCATGGAGACGCTGCGGCGAAACTCCTGGAGGGCAGCCATGTAGCGTGCTATCACACCCACCACGTTTTTCACTACCAATAAAAACAAAAAAGCAATGTTTAGCACAGCGAGTACTCCGTGACACATTTATCAGAGTGTGTCTATGTGTCCTTACTCCTGACTCGAGTGTTTTCTCCATCCCGGCTCCTCTTGCTCTTCCGGGTCCGATGGCGCTCTAGAGGATGAAGCTCCACTTCCTCAAATGAGTCAAACAGCGTTGGCAAATCAAACCCAGCTGCATCATCAGAGGACGCCATGTGTGAGCTTCCAGGTTCCACCTGAGTGGAACAACGAGGCCACCTCTTCTCTAGAAGAAAGAAAGAGAAGGCTGAGGACTGAAGATTTTGAGAAACCAACTAACTCTAGTTCAGTGAACGTGATTTTTGTGTAAGGTTACAAATGGCACAGATTCGTGAGCTTACCGGGGCGCAGTTTATCCTGCAGAAAGTCACATATGAGTTCAGCTTTCTTCGTGAGTTCATGTTGCAGCAGTTCTTTGTCCTGCTTCAAATTGGAGATCATCTCTGTCATTTGTTGGTTTCGGCTGCGTTCTGCTAAGAGTAATGCTCGCAGCTTCTCCAGCTCACTCTCGTCTTCTTCAGCTTTACAGACACACAAAAACATTACAAACAAAAACAACGTTATGTTTTGTTCCCCTGACGGCATGAAAACATGCGAGCTGGTACCTGTGTTCTTCGTAGTGGTCTCTGTGGCAGCGCTGCATCGCTCAGCCTGCTCTGTGGTCCCTGCTGTGCAGCTGCCTCCTCCTAGTACCTCCATCTCTGGATCCATCGATCCCTCACACCCCACATGTTGTCCATGCTGGGGCTGACAGCAAGATGAAAGAGCCTTTTTTGGCCACAGTGTTTGTGTGATTTGAGAGTATGTGTTTGGTGCCTGATGAGTTTGTAAAACACAGACTAGGTCTGTCTCTGCGAGCCCAGTGTCATCGTCTTCTGCTGGGGCGGATTCCTGTTTGACCTTCTTTGCAGCGATGGCTCCTCCCTGGGCCCCGCCTCTTTTCCTAGATGGCCGGGGCTCATAGTCGCCATCCTCATCTGTGGCTGATGAATCACATGCAGCAATGTCAAAAAGCCGACCGCTGAACTCCTCGCCCTCTGATGCCGCTTCACTATAGGAGAGGTCACATGATGTTCTCACTGCAATCTGAACATTTAGAAAGAGGTGATGTCCAACTGTACAACCTTATAATCCAGTACATAATTGTCTCTATAGCTTTACTGTACAATTCATTTTCATGTAAGTCACCAGTTTACATCAAATTAAGCCTTAAAATTATGCATAACTTGCATGAAATCCGTGGACTGTAACTTAAAGATGGCTTGTAGCCACATAGCTTCCACGTTCCAAAAACAAAGCCACTGTAAAAGTGATTTAAGAGTGCATTATTTCACCAAAAATCCAACATAAAAGTAAGGCTGCAGGGACTTTCCAGTCTTGTCTGGGTTTAATCATATGTTGACAGACAAAGTATTAAAGGCTCATGAACCCACATGCTGATTATACACTGGCCCTAAGCTCATGTGAATTTGTCAGTAACCCAATTCTTTGCACATTTGCACATCCCCGTGTCATTTCAGACAATACCAGCACCTCACATCTTTACCTCACCTTACTGGTTGGATGACCTCCAGCAAACCTCTCCTGGCCTTGTCTGGTACTGGCTGAGCCGCCACAAGTGTTTGCATTTTCACCAAGGGGCCAGTGGTAGGCGTGTCCAGCCCCACAGCCCCACACAGCAATGGGGACGCTGCCACCGTGCGGACCAGATTCAGCTGTCAGCACATTGCTGTAGGAGCCACGGGTGATGTGCTGCAAGCTGGGGAGGAGGTTACAGATGGTGCCGTGGCTGTGAGCCCAGCGGACGAGTTTACACAAACTGTCCGAGGTGGTTTGAACCAGGCTGGACATCATAGGATGTCTGAAACAGAGAGCGAGAAGACGGTGTTAGAAACACTTTAATGTTATTTATTTGTATCTGTTGCTAATATCACTGGCATCATAGATAACAACTGCTTTCATCAGCTGCCCTTGCTGTTATCTTTCTTTCCTTTGCTGCTGATGCCACAAGTTTTTTTTAATAATTACTCAAGGAAATTCACATTTACAGGCGGTGCAAGTCTTGATTTGATCCATCTTAATTTTCAGCCATGTGTGACCTAAACTGAGTCCTAAGAACAGCTTCTCATATTAGAGGCTCATTTATTTTTCAGTTTTTTGTGTTTTTGACTTTCTTCAATTTCAGGGTTTACATTATGCAAAATGTTTCATGTTCTTGTATATAAACTGGCGATTTAATTTTTTTTTTTACTGTTTTCACTTTAGCAGACAAAAAAGACGTGCTGATTTTTAATGCATGATTACCACAAATGACCACATCTAATCTGTTAGTGTTTTCCCCTTTTCTCCTCTTTAAATTACCCTCAAAGAGGACTTGTTGCTTTGCAAGTCCTATCGTGCAACAGCTGGATACTACACCTCGTAGCATGCAGCTGCTGCAATACTGAATCCCCTGATTCAGTTTACCATGGTAAAGATTACAGTCACATATTTATGAAGGCAAAATTTTCCAATTCATAAAAATAAATCTTGTCGGTTACAAGACGCCTAATTGTAGCTAGAGCAAATGAACTGTAAAAATAGAGTGTCCTTCAGTTTCCTGTTAAAAACAAGTTATATTTGATTTAAACTGGCATAAATCATCAATTTATCTTCCTCTCGATCAAATCTGTCCACGGGCAAATCCTAATTTAACAGACACAGGAAAACAAAGCACCTACAGCACATACACATGCCTCATAATTACCTTTAAAAAAGAAATCTAAATTAAACCAGGTCCATGCAGGTTTCACATAATCCGACTGTCCTCATTTATTCCGCAGCTGCCTGCAGTAAGCCAAAGCAACTCTCGGGTCTTATGTGCTGACGCGAAACACGCTTGATTAAAAATAATAATAAAAAATGTCCAGCTTTTGTTTAATTATTATCTTCTTTGTCCGGTAGGTTTAATATCGCCACAGTTGAATGACAGGGTTGGTTTACTGCCAGCAAGTGGACGGGAGGATGAACTGTGCTCTGCTCTCAGTGGGTGATGAAACAGCGACCTCTAGTGGGCAGAGGGGGTATTAATATATCCTGCACATGCATATTATTTTTGTTTTATTTTTGTTTTGATACAATTTAAATTATAAGAGGATGAGAAATAAAATATCCCATTCATCCATACAGATTGTAAGACGTGTTAAAAAAACATTTAATATTTGTTTTGCCGGGTTAAAACATGTTTTTACGTATTTATATATACTTATTTTCTCCCTGACACCCAACTAAAAAGCAGTTTCACAGCAGCATAAGCAGCCAAACAAGTTGTGCTGTCACAAAAAAAATCTTCTCAGATTACAAATCAAGCGAACAGAAACTTTCAGCATGTCAAATTGATGCGAACACATCGTTCCTGCCCGGTGAAGCTGAAACATCCAGGAACTTGATGCAGACTTTACTTTAAAACACAAACAGTATTTTATTTTTAACTTTTTATCAAAGCCCAAATTAACTTTTAACTTTTAAAGTGTGTATTTTTAGCATCCTGAAGAGTGACTAGCGAATTTCTCTAATTAACATAAGGCTTGTTAGCCCGAGACCAGTTCAAAGATTACGTGCAATGACGTCATAGCCCATAAAGCAGGTTAACTGGGGCAGTTAATCTAACATACCCCGCTTGATGTGGATTGTTCCGTGTCTGGATAAATGAGTGTATAAAAGCTGGAAGTTTTTTGGTTTTTAAAAGTTATTGGTCCGACTTCAGAGACTTGACTGAACGTGTTCCTGGCTCCACCCTCCGTTAGTCAGCCTGTGTAACTACGTGTTAGTGCTGGTGCCTTTAACTTACAAGCATCTTGGAGAGAGGAGGGGAAAAAAGAGGACTTTCCCCCCGGCTTTTATCTTAGGGAAAGACGGCTATCCTGCCGTCGCAAGTTTGTTGGCTTTAAACTTGAATAGCCGGTGTCTTTCCGTAAGGGAGAAAAAAAGGACAGGTTTTGAATGCGTTTTCGGACTTGGATTAAGTTGTGCATGGAAACTAATGATATTTGAACCCGCGAAAAGGAGAGAGAGGAGGTGGGTGTCGGATACAGGACTACTTTTGCGTGTCCGTCTTATTCTTTTGCGCGTGGATCACAGATACAAGCGTGTTTAATTTGGTCAAAGGTGGAATGGTTTGTTTTTTGTTTTTACCATAAAACTTCCTAAATCTGATTAAAGCTGCACAGATCCTAAAGGTTTAATCGTGCTGGAAGACATAACATTTTCGAGGAAGCTTTGAGAATCAGAACCAGAAATACATATCTATATATAGAGATATAAATATATAAAACTATATTGCAGCAGTGTTGAAATTATGGCGCTGAAGGCCAAAGTGTTGTACGATTTCCACTCTGAAAATCCAGGAGAGATCTCCATAGCAGAGAATGAGGTGGTGACTCTGTTTAGCGAGGAGGAGCTGGAGGGTTGGCTGGAGGGGGAGAACAGCAGGGGGGAGGCTGGCCTCTTCCCTGCCTCTTATGTTGAGATCATCAGAGACCATATCACCTCCAACAACAATGGCTTCTCCTTGACCCAAACCAAAGTCCAGACCTCCTACACATCCTCCCAGCCTCACAGAGGATTTGGGGCTGGTAGCAGCAGCTTCCACACTAGCCAGGGCAGCGATGATGACTGGGATGACGAGTGGGACGACAGCTCTCCTGTGGCCAATGTCCCTCAGGGTCTCAGCAGCAGCCCTCCTTTGCACCCAGTTGCCACCTCCCTGCCGGGCCGTGGGAGCTCCCAGCAGCAGCAGGCCAAGAGTTCAGCCACAGTGGGGAGGAACCTGAACAGGTTCTCCACCTTCGTCAAGTCCGGAGGAGAGGCCTTCCTGCTAGGGGAGGCGTCAGCTTTTGTGAAAGATGGAGACAGGATCTGTGTGGTGATGGGGAAGCATGGACCCGAGTGGCAGGAGGACCCTTATCCGTTCACGTGCACCATTGACGACCCCACCAAGCAAACAAAGTTCAAAGGGATGAAGAGCTACATGTCATATGGCCTTACTCCAACGCACACCAATGTCCAAGTCAACCGCAGGTATGTATCGTCTTCTCATTTCTCCACTTTTCAGATTTTTACTGCGGTTTACGAAATGTTAAAAACAGAGCTGTGGATTTTTGCCATCTGGAGCCTTCTCTGGTTTCCTCTCTGAGGTTCCCTCAACAGCTTTCACATTGTTTCCATGTCCCTGTGTCTGTCAGTTGAACTACACTCGAATTCCCTCAGGGCATGTTGGGAAAAGATTCCTGCACTTCGCCTCCATTTATCTTTTTCACTCTGTCTCACTACGTGCTCCTGGCATTTACCTTACCTCGCTTATTCAACCAGTCCCAATTTCTCTTCTCTCCACTCCTTCCTGCAGGTATAAACACTTTGACTGGCTCTACGGTCGGCTCGTGGAGCGCTTCCCTGTCATCTCAGTGCCCCACCTGCCAGAGAAGCAGGCCACGGGCCGCTTTGAAGAGGACTTCCTCTCCAAGAGGAGGAAGGGTCTGATCTGGTGGATGAACCACATGACAAGCCATCCTGTGCTGGCGCACTGTGACGTTTTCCAGCATTTCCTGACTTGTGGGGCGGATGAGAAGGCATGGAAGCAGGGAAAGAGGAAGGCAGAGAGGGACGAGCTGGTCGGGGCCAATTTCTTCCTCACAATCAGGTAGGAGTCTGAGAATTGGTCTTTATTAAGATGCACATAGCATTTTGGGAAATGACAAAGTTTTTGTCAGGTTCTTTTTAATAGTGTTAAGTTTAGCTGAAAGATATTTGACCTTGTATAGGGAACTAATATTATAAACTACGTTCTTTGCTCTGTTTTAACAACTTGGAGTTGAAGGCCTTTAAAAATAGGGTGTGCCAGATAGTGAGCAAAAGATAAGCAGTAGAAAAAGATTTAAAATGACAATCTTCCCCTTTCTTTTTTCCGTCAGCCCCCCCTCTGTACCTCTGGACCTGCAGGAAGTCGAGAGCAAGATTGAAGGCTTCAAAACATTCACCAAGAAGATGGACGAGAACATCATAGTTGTGAACACCAGCATCAACGAGTTCGGCCGCAAACAAATATCGGGGTTCAAAAAGGAGTACCAGAAGGTTGGACAGTCCTTCAAACTCCTGGCCCAGGCTTTCGAGCTGGACCAGCAGGTCTTCTCAGTGGGCTTGAACAAGGCCATTTCCTACACGGGGGAGTCTTACGAGGCAATAGGAGAGTATTTTGCTGATCAGCCGCGGCAGGACCTGGACCTCATTTCCGACCTGCTGGACATCTACAAAGGACACCTGGCCAACTTCCCTGACATCATCCATGTGCAGAAAGGTGGGAGAGTGTCTTTGTCTTCATGTTGGTAAAAAAAATTCAGCTCTGCAGTCTTAGAGCACAAATGCAAAGGAAAGACGTTGAGCACATTTTTATGCAGGGCTAACGTTTTAATACTGCCTAAACATGTTAAAATACTTTCTTGAGAAAATAAATTCTAATTAGTAACAAACCAATTATGAAAAATCAAAAAACAAACAAACTTAGAGGAAAGGAAACAGACTCGGCACCAAGTATGTAGGGAAGCTTTTAACTGGCGTTTAAAGAAAAAAATTTAAACGAATTATATGCGTCTAAATGCTTCTAGCATGTCTGTTAATCATGCAGACATACAAAGACCCAGATTCTGACTGTATCCCAACCAAGAGAAACATCTGTTTTCATTTAGTGAAGAGCAGTGTCAATCTGCGTCGAAAACTGAAACCCGTGGTCCATTGTAACACTCGGGGTACTGTGCGAGGGCCTGTATTTGCTCATTTTGAAAACACACACACACACACTTACAAAGCAGGAGTTGGCTTATTAGTTCCCTGCAGGTTGGGAGGAGGGAGTTCCTCCTGGCACGCAGAGTCCAGACGTTTGCCAGACCGAGAGACACTGTTTCTATAGTCTGCTGAACTCTGTTCTCCAGATACAATCCCAGCTCCCAACTGTGGAACGAGCCTGAATTGCAATAGTCCGTGTGACTGACAGGGCTTCACCTCCTTTCCTGTTGACAAATAACAAACACATTGTTTTATGCCTCGCAAAGCCCATTTACTTACTAACTCACTGTTTTTTTCCTGTTAAGTTTTTCATGCCAAAGTTTCTCTCCACAGAGCATCATTGGTTCGGGGTATTTTGTATAAAATGGGACGCCAAATAAAAACCAGTTAAACCAGTAAAACACATTTTACTTAAATTATAACCAAATTGATTAATATCTCGGAAAGATTGGCCAACGTAATTTAAACATTTCAGGTGATCTCCCACAAAGTAGTGACATAATTCTGGGGCACCGGCGTGGGTTTCATCACTGAAAACACTGACTGGCAACATTTTTTTGTCCTTTTCATACAAAGAGTTGATTCTGTTTATTCATGGTCGGTAGCTTCAAGTGGACTTACAGAGCTCAACAGTGACCGCCCACTTTTTTTAAGACCTCCACTTCCAGTAGTGAATTTCTCATTCATTTTGTCCACTGATGTTTCAGAAAATTATTACATTTTATATACATTTAAGCCTTCAAGTGAGCCAGCCAGCTACAAGCCAGATCATAACCATGAAATCATTTGATTTGGATCAAAAATATAAAGCAAAATGAAAGTCTACTCAAGTTTCTTCAGTGTTGTGCTCACTAATTGAGCTGATGTGTAAGGGTTTAAACATTTCAGTGGTAACAGAAACCTCTATGCTTTTCCTACCCTTGATGTCAGTAACACGGTATATCCTCTTCTAGTTTTCAGCTAGATTCTATCCTGCTGTAAACTAAATTATAACCCTAATTATAACACATCCAAAGAAAATGACTAACACAACTATAAAATAGACCCAGCATGCAGAAGAATTTGTAAGCCTTTACAATAAGCACTCTCAGACTTTTGTAATCATCTCTGCTGGTGTTAGAAAAGGTCAGTATCCGGTGAGTAACATCCTTCAACCATTGACCATACTGCAGAGTCGACATTGCTGCTGGGGTTGTGAAATAACTTAGATTCGCATAAGATGACTGGCTTAGTTCACGAGGCATCTGATTTGATAAAGAAATAGGTAAGAAGGAAAACAGGACTCTAGCGGGTTTGCGTTTCCAGACGCATCGGGCTTCATTTTTTTCTCAGCAGCAGCAGCAGCTCCACATTCCCCTAATTTCTATCAGTCTCATATTGTCTCATATACACTTTCTCCAGTAATGGCTAAATTAGAAAACATATAAAATGGCAGCTGTAACACCTCATGTTTGACTGCTTTGTTGAACTACATATGTCACTTACGGTGACAGTCATCTATGCCAGCTCAGTCTTTTAAGTCTAAAGGCTACATCTGATTTGAATGAGTGGGAATTCCTGGGCCTCTTGTACTCTGTTGCCCCGGGACTACAGGAATCCAAAATGGAGCGGTCTCAGGATTACATTCCCCTCCTCCTCTTTTTTTGTTCCCCCCTTTTCCTCTTTCCTCCTGTTGGTTAAAGAAAAATAGGAAGAAGAAGAAGAAGAAGAAGAAGAAGAGGGGAGGTGAATGTATGAGGGGGTACGGAGAGTTACAGAGCTTTACAAGATTTCCTACCAGCATAACAGTACAAGAGTTCAAATTATAGCTCAGTAATCCCCTTGGCAGGGAGGAGAGCAAAGTCCAAGGTTTTTTTTTTCTTTCTTCACTGTGGTGGCAAACTTGTGCTTCTGATCTTCGTGAGATAGAGAGAAGGAGAAACTAGGTCAGCACGTTCAAGATCAGCTTCCTCGCAATTTCCTCCACATTTATGTGAGTTAGTCCTTAACTCTGAGATCCCTCTTTGTTGGTCATGTCTGTCTGGACTGTACAGCCTCCCCCCCAAAGCTTGAGTCACTCTAAACACTGTGAGTCATAAGTGGGTGATGGGTGTCTTCAAAGAAACCTGGCAAAGGTTTGCAACAATCAGCACATTTCTGCAGGTTTCTCAACATGTCCTGATTTTATGTGATCCAGTTACGACCTCGTGAATTTTGTATTGCACAAGTTCCTTTTGTAGAATTGTGTTTTAATTATTTGTGTAGAAGTTCTAAAAATATTCCAGACTTCCTTGATTTGACTATTGAGTTTGACTTCCTCTTTCCGTGTAGCCACCCTGATGTCATCAACTGCTTTGCGGACAATTATTTTGAAGTCTCAATTTTCTAATTTTGGCAAAAAAAACAACTAAGTGTTGTCTCAGGGGGAAAACTGAACTCCTATGAGTGTCTTTTTTTTTTATCTGAGCACAAAAAACTCGAGTCAACCCTAACAAGCTAAAGAGAGCACAACCATATAGCAAGCTGTGAAGATGAATGGTTCTGTTGTTATCATCAAGTCCTGAAAATTGGTCAATGGGGGTGTAAAAGTGTATTTTTTATAATGGGGATTTTATGTTGAAAAATAAAATCAAGTGGCGGTATAACCTTAACCATATAAATTTTGTCCAATCAGAAGCCTAGGGGGCAAAAAGTTGCTAGGCAAAAAAAGGAGGAAAAAGAAAGTACTGTGCAGGAGTCCTCCTGTTCCTTCCATTCATAATAAAGTCTTTGAGTTATCCAGTGGCTGCTTTAAAAATGTCCTTGTTGTATTTTTCATTTCACAATGTGCCAAGTGTTTTCAGTTTGTGAAAGGTCTGGACTGCAGGAAGGCCAGTTGAGTGCTCTTCTAATGCAAAGCAATATTGCTGTAATGCATGGACAGTATGTAGTTTAGCATTGGCTTGCTGATATATGCAAGGCCTACCTTGAAAAAGACTGCATTGTGTGGATAGGAGCACATGTTGCTCTAAAGCTGTATATACCTTTCAGCATTAATGCTGCTTTTCCAGATGTGCATGCTGCCAGTTCCACACACGCTAATGCATCCTCCATACCATCAGAGATGCAGGCTTTTTAAATGAACATTAATAAGAAGCGTCCAGAGAAGATGGCAGCGTTTTTGGATTATACTCGAATAACGTTTTAACCTGTCTAATTTCAAGATCATTTCTTGAAGTGTCCTGAGCCCATGTGGTGATTTACATGACAATGCCATGGTCTCAGATTGTCTCATCCAATGTTTGTGAGTTTTTACTTTTAAATTTTGTACATTTAAACTTTGCATTTGGTTATTGTTTAAACTGTTTAATGTATTCTCTCCCTTAGTGTATTTACCCATTTTATTAGTTCTTAGTTGCTTTAGAGTAATTTTTTTCCCTCAGTGCTCCATCTTTTTGTGTCAAGTCTCCCGTACGTTCATTCATATTTTCCACTTTTAGATATCTCACTTCCTGCTTTATTTTGAAAGTTAGTTTTTTTCCTTGTGCTTTGCTTTTAGTTCCCTTGTCTTGGCTCTGCAATTTAGTTCAGATGTCTTCTTCTCCCCAGCTGTCTGCACTTCCTCTAATCACCCTTCTGTTTATGTATAGTTGCTGTCTCCACTTGTCCTTTGTCAGAGTGTCTGTTCCCCTTGGCCCAGTATGTTTCTTAGTATTTTTTTTTTTTTTAATGTTTTTAAATCCCCCCCCAAAAGTGCTCACGACAGACCGGTTACTCTCACTGAACCTGGTTCTGCCTGAGTTGAGGTTTTTCCTGTTAAAAGGGAGTTTTTCCTTCCCTTTGTCACCAAAGCGCTTGATCAGCACGGGGTCATCTGATTGTTGGGATTGTTAGACAGACAGAGAGGCCTGTTTAAAACTGGCGACGATGTTGGCGTCAGACTCTGGGCCATGAGAGTTCGTGTTGGATGTAGTACTTCATTCTCACGCCTGTCTTTCTAGACAGAGGAACAAAATTGCAGATATTAAGAATAACAAATGTATTGCAACAGTATTTTGCCTGCACCTACCATTACAGGAAATTGTCTCATGAAAAAAAACATTGCACATTATGATGTCAAAAAGAACATCATACCATTGCCTTTAAGGGCATACCACATCAATGGTATGCCCTTAATGTGTCTCTGGAGGCTCCATTTTTAGTGATCTGATAAATGGAGATAACAGTTTACACGTAGGCTAAAAGCTAAAAACCCAAAAATATCTGTGTATGTGTTGCCACAATCTTTAGTGACTGTAACTTCAAGTGTGCAAACTTAGATTGTTATCTTATCAGCTATCTGTCGCTGAAGTGTTCTTGTTTATCTGTGTAAAGAAAGGTAATGTATTTTAAGATAGATTAATATCAAAGCAGAGTGGCATGGTAGTTATCACTGTTGCCGCACAGCAAGAAGGTTCTGAGTTCAATTCCACCATCAGGCCGGTGTGGAGTTTGCATGTTCTCCCTGTGTTTGCGTGGGTTTCTCCCACCGTCCAAAGACATGCAGTTAGTGAGGATTACCCACAGGTGTGAGTGTGAATGGTTGTTTGTCTTTGTGCGTTAGCCCTGCGACACACTGGCGACCTGTTCAGGGTGTACCTTGCCTCTCGCCCTATGATAGCTGGGATAGGCTCCCGCGACCCTGTAAAGGATAAGCAGAAGCGAATGGATGGATGGATAGATAGCTGTAGAATATTATTTCTGAAATAAATGTGTCAGGGTTTTATTTCCAGTGTTGTCATGATCACAGAATATTTTTGAATAAGTTTTTTTTTTTATTGTGAAAAATCCGAAGGTTTTTTTTTTTACCTTTGAACTCTCCGATATATTTTCCCAGGTGCACTGACCAAGGTGAAAGACTGCCCAAAGAAGGAAGGTGAGCTGCACGACCGCTGCAACATCATTTCTTTCGCCACGCTGGCAGAAATCCAGCACTTCCACCGCACACGTGTACGGGACTTCCGCTCACAGATGCAGTACCACCTACGCCAGCAGATCAGCTTCTTCCAGAAGATCACGGCCAAGCTTGAGGACGCACTGCAGATATATGACGATGACCAGTAGCACAAGAGTGAGACAAGGAAGAGAACAGACTACAAAGGCTTCAAAGAAATGGGTTGTGGTGGTGGTGTCATCCTCTCATAATCGAGAGCATCTTATTGTCCTTTAAAAAGAAAAATCTTTTTTGTGATGATCCCTCGCTGTCTAGTAGGATCATTGGAAGAAAAATACAGGCCATTTGACAACTTCTTGTATTATCTGAAGCTCTGATGAATGTAACCATTAACAAGGATTTTGCTGACGCTCCAGACACATGTTGCAACTCAGCAGGATTGCAGCAGATATTTAAAACAGCTGCTCTCAGTATGACTGGAGCTGCGTTTGAGTCACAGTTTCAGGGTCACGTGACCGTCTCCACTGCCTCTTCATGGGAGCACTCGGTCGGGAAAGAACAATCAACAACAGCCCAAACAAAGACTGGAAAACTAACTAAATCGCTTGAACTGGATGTTTTAGCGCCTGAAAGATATAAATGTACTGATTTGTTTTAACTTGAATGACCTGCTCAGTATTGTTTTAACAAGACAGCGTATGAAAGGGAAGAGGGCACTGCCTACTTTCCAGAATCGGTTTCAAGTCTGGATTTCCATCACAGCTTGAAATCTGAGCTACCTGTGATGTCTGACTTCTTTCACATCACCCTCACCTTGTTTGCATTTGAAACTTTTTGTGGTTGAACATTTTCTCTTAAATGTTTTAATGGTGAAGCGGTACCGCAGTAATCTTAACTTCCAGATGTTTTATGAAAACCTAATGCTACATCTGTCTCTCACCCAATTCAGGGTAAGTTTAAAAGCTCTTTCGAATGCCAGCTATTTCTGGCATGGAAACAGTAAAGCGAGAGCATGCAGGCAGTGATTGTGATTATAGCATATTTTACATGCTTTAGAGTGAAAGCTTTTTGTTTGAGAAACATGGCAGTCCTTGTGAAACTGATCAACTTGTACATCTCAGACATGCATCACTAACAGACCAATTCTTTTAATGCTATTTGGGGTTGGCATTGTTCAAATACTAGACATAACAGCTTTTCAACTCCCTTCTAACACGGCACCAAAATATGATCACAATGCCTCACGTGTACTGATATAATGAGCCCGATTCACCCAGAAGCTCCTTGGATTTAATCAGCATTGAGTTGCAGGCTGAGCTCTCTGAGAGACAGTTAGGATTTGTTTAATATTACTTATATTTTCCTTAAAAATGCAGAAAACTCAGAGATACAGTTCAGTGGAGTTGGTTACAGGGGTTTAAAGTATCAGCCACTGTCAGTCTGAGTTGTGGTATCAGGTGTGACTTCATTCCTTTCCTGTGATTTCACTTTACAAAGTTTATAATGGGACAAACCACCATCCTGGTTGGTTTTTAGCTGTTCACTTGGATCGCTAGCAAAAGTGAAAGTGATATACTTTCAATATAACATGATGGGAGAAAATAAAAAAATAAATAAAAGCAGAATTTATTTCAGTTATGACTCTGTATTGTTGATCATTGGCATTTTTGCACAATATAGGCCCATTTTCTGCATATTTTAGGGTGTTTGTTTTGATGAATATTAATATATTTGTGATGATCACACACTATTCGGACAAAAGGTATTGTGCCACACTTCTTAATCTTTCATCTTTTTAGTGCCAAGGGTGTATAGAATCAGTTACCTAGCCATTCAGCATGCCTTTGCAGTCATTTGTGAAAGAATAAGCTCACTGAATTCAAGTGCTGTAATAACACGCCACACTTTCAAAAAATATATCCATAATCAGCTGTACCCGCTGAAAAAAAATGACGGTTGAAAATCAGAGAAAAGCCTATGAAACATCCAGAGTTGTCATTGTAGATGCGCTTAGTCAGTGTTATTATTCTTGTGTTAAACTTTCAGTTCAGTTTCAATTATATAGTCCCAAATCACAACACCAGTCACCTCAAGGCACTTTATATTGTAAAGTTAGGACCCTACAGTAATACAGAGAAAACCCAAACAACCAAATGACCCCCTATGAGCGAGCACCTGGCAACCCTGGCAAGGGAAAACTCCCTTTCAACAGGAAGAAACCTCTGACAGAACCAGGCTCAGAGAGAGGCAGCCATCTGCTGCAGACGGTTGGGGGTGGTCACACATTTTAAACCCTTTATCAGGTGAGAAACAATGTTTGGTGACTTCACTGGACATAAATTAGCCTCGTTTCCCCTTCTCCAGGAGGCCATAGAACCACTTGGATGTTTCCCACCACCCACCTTACCATATGGTAATTTATGTGGCTGCTTCACTGACCTTGATTTGGACCATGAAAATTACAAATGTGGAAACGTTATCAAAAAATAAAAAACTTGCAATATAGACCAACTTGAATTTCCAAACATTTCAATGAGTGACCTATAAAGGGTTATGCAAGGGTTGACGTAAGTCCAAATGATGTAAAGTTCATTATCAGAGGGTGAACATGAGGCTCCGCCCAAACTGATTTCCACGTGACCTCTGAATTGGAACAATGCAGGCTTGTTTATGCAGACACTACTGTATGGTTACCCACTACCTGTGATTCTTTGAATCAGGCTACCAAATGGTGTAACTTAAACAACTTCTCATCCATGGTTTCTACAGCTGTCCATGTTCCTTTATCTGAAAGCCCGTGTAGCTTTCAGTTACACCAACACAGTGACTTCAGTATCAAAATTCAAATACAGTTAGAACAGAAAAAGCCAGAAAAGTACAGTCCACATTAACATTAAAACAGTAATCCATTACTTTACGTATTTACTCCCTGAAAAACTTTAGCTGCACTTCTCTTTGCACTTTTGCTTTAATCACCCAAGATACATTAAGACAGAGTTAACCAGAGCGTTAACATGCACATCACTGCATATCCACACTAATGACTGTGCTAAGGAGGGGACATATGTTGGCACTTTACTGTCACATTCTTGCCCGTTCATGGAACAGGTTCATACTAAATATCTCCTCCCATCAGAAGTATGTTTCTTTACGCACGTTACCTGACAGCTGTTGCACAAACAGGCTTGAAAGAGCATTTTTGATTTGGTTTTTGTTTCTGTTCACTGATTATGCAAGACAAAAAAAAAACATAACACAATTGGCATAATTGTGTTATGTTACCCTTCCTAGAGAAAAGTCTCTCATCTCTTGTTTTCTCTGGTGAAGGGACCACTTCACTCCTTGCTATCTGACACCAGAGTTCAAAGACTGCAGATCAGGTTACTCCAACTGCAGGCCCTTCATTATTTAGACTGTCCTCTTTCTCCCCTCCACTCAGTCTTGATTTTACTTTGAAATTGTGCTTTGTTCAGAATGCGTTCAGACTTACCTGCAAAAAAAACAAACAAAAAAAACAAGACCTTTCTGGGGTACTGCTCTCTAAACGCTGCCTGATTCATTGAGTTTTAAAGGTCAGAGATGAGGGTTGTGGAGCGGTAATACAAAAAATTTGACTCACCCCAGATGTTATGCATGTGACCAGATTAAGAATCTACGTGGAATTCTACAGTGCAATGCATTCAGAATTTTTGGTGTATGTTATGGTGTTAACGCTTGTCACGTGCATGCCTGGCCACAGATATACATGTAGAGAAACAAGTTTTCTGTACTCATTCATGTTGTGTACAACGAATCCTGGCTCTGCCATCTGAACGTCACAGTCGGGTGTGACAGAGTATTAAGGCCACATTAAGAAAAAAATATAATTTTGCTACGGCTGCTTTTTCTTTTTTTTTCAACTTTATTCTCAAAATGCGGCACTAATACTCCTTTGTAGCAGGAACTCATCAGAACCAGGTAATATCTTCTGTTGTCCAATTTTGGTGAGCCTCTGTGAATTGTCACCTCAGCTTCCTGTTTGTAACTGATGGGAGTGGCACCCAGTGTGGTCTTCTGCTGCTGCTGCCCATCTGCTCTTCAGAAATGCTTATCTGCATTCCTTGGTTATAACGAATGGTTCTTACTATTGCCTTCTGCTCAAAGCTGACTGGCATAAACAGTATTTTTTCCCCACAGAGATGCCTGCTCGATATTACCTCTTTTTTTGCGACATCTGCTGATGCTCTGTTGGAACTCCAGCATGTTGTCTTGACCATGTCTACATAACTAAATGCAGTGATTTGCCGAACTGTAATTGACTGATTAGATATTTGCGTTAACGAGCAGTTGAATCTGTGTACCTAATAAAGTCAGTCAGTTGTCTGTTGGGGTTTCATTCGTTTAAATACTCTGGTATTAAAATGGGCAACTTTATTGTCATAGATGCTTGGTGTTGGCCATTAACAAGGAAATAAAATGAAAAAGAAATGCCACTAAAAAATAGCGTAACATGTTTAGATTTGCACAAACAGCATGGGTATTTAAGAAATATTTTTTATTAAAAAAACTGTCACAGTACGTGGCAAACAGATGCAGCCATACAAGGGGTCAGAATTGACAAGTACATCTTACAATGCATCATTATTGATCATAGAAGCAGTTACATAGCAGGAGTAGTAAGAAAAAGGACACAGGAAAGTACAGGACAGGGAATAATGCCTGTGTCTGTACATGTGGGATGAGTGTTATAGCTTACAGTACATTTAGTCGTATGTACAAACATGATGATCTACTGGCTGACGTAATATGTTTTAAAAAAGCAACACCTGACATCTGTACAGCGTGCAATAGCTGTGGGTGAGTGACTTCCATTACCAGTTATATATGTGCTAACTCAAAATATAGCTGCTGTTAATGTGGTTCACATTAAATGAAATGAACCCCGGGCCACGTTTCACTTCCTCCTTCAGTATAAAATGTATTATTGCAACAACTCTTTGCTTTAAGGAAAATAAGATGTAATTTTCTTGAGAAGGACCCAGGGCAGTTTGTGTTCATTGCTTATAACTAGGAAATCTTTAAAAAAAGAAAAAGAAAAAAGGAAGAAGAGCTTTTTAAGCAATAATTTCCTCTGTCTTTACTCAGAAGAGTATTTCACATCTTAGAAACAAATGCTAAAAGTGGGTAACACCTCGCGGATTATGGGTATTTCAAGACAGTATTAATGGAACAAAGTCATATTTATTAGCAACGTAACTTAAATGTGATGGCCATTGCACATTTTACTGTCGTCTTTCCAAAAAGAACATATTGGATGTGCCTTAGGTGACCATTGGTGTTCCCTGGAAAGCAGACACATATCCTATATATACACACACACACACACTACAAACACACCTCTAAGGCACAGTTTTTTCAGCATTACTACCCTCAAACCCAGTACTGGCCCTCTTTTAGAGTTGGAGTCGGGGACCTAGATCTCACAGAGGTCCTGAATCCTGTAGTACGTGGAAGTGGATTGCTAGAAGTTTTATTATCTCTTTCATTACTGTTACAGCCTCTAATATTCCTATCACCACCAGCTAAATCAGCCTCAAATGGCCCCCAGAAGGTCATTCCAGGGGCCAGACTCCTCCGGGGACTTGTGGGCACCCTGGGAGAAGTTGGGCAGCTTGCAGAGCCGAGTGGGGTGACCATAACTGAGGGCATAGCCACACTCCGCTCTGGCCTGCCCAGATACGGGCTGTCCTCATTGGGAACCGGCACTGCAGCGAGTGCCTGGACAAGTCGAAGCCGAGCTTGTTTTTCCTTGCGATGGCGGAACACCAGGATCAAAACTATGAGTATTATAATGAGAAGCAAACAAGCTAGCAGCGGAAGGATAATGAGGAGGGGGTCCGACGCAGGACGAGGCAGAACCTCGACATGAATCAGCTGGGTGTCAGGAGGGTTCTCCGGACCGTGTTTCTCTGGGATGGAGGGAGTGTGGGGCTGGGGGGCATGGCTGTGACCTCCTCCTGCTCCCTCTACGCTGCTCTTTGACCTCCCTCCAGGACTCCCATTCCGTGTGTGGTTCCCCAGTCGGTTATGAGGCCTCAACTTGTGGTGTGTCCTGTTGTGGTGCTTGTGTGACAAAATGTGGGGGTGCAAACCCACAGTGACCTCACCGTGTGCTGTAGAGCCTCCTCGTCCACCTTCCCGTCCTGCTCTTCCGGCAGTTGTCCTGTTGTGTGCTGGTAGACGGGCTGTTGTGTGTTCGCGACCTATCTTGTCTATTTTATTGAAACCACCAGGACCGTGGCGCATCTGGTGATGAGGTAAGATGGTGAAGTGAAGCTCACCCTTTGCTGGCTGGACGTTTCCAGACCTCACCAGGAAGCTGAAAGAGTCATTAAGAGGCGTGGCGGGAGCGTGGACTTGAGCTGTTGTGAGCGTGGATTCATTATTGTGGAGCTGGTTGTCGCTGTCACTAAGATTCTCCTCGATGGCAACTCGGCCTTGCACCACATCTCTGAATGTGAATGACTTCAGGACCTCTGACGCTCTGTTAGGATCATATGTTATCTACACAAACACACACACGAAAACACATAGCAGAGGAGAAAGTCAACAGCAAACCAGTCAGACACGCGACATACTGTAGTTTTATGACATTGCAGCTGGAGAAAGGGACCGTCTAACCCCGACTCATTACAACAAATGGCTTTACCTTGACTAGTTTTCCATGTTTTGGTGGAGAGAGAACCTCAAAGACCGGGTTGGCTCGGCTGATTCTCGCCAGCTCTGAGGCATCAATCATGGCTTTTCCCAGTTTCACAGCGATACCACTGGGGACTCGAACTGGCTCTCTCAGGTAGATCAGAGGCCGCACGGTCACTTTCACCGTTGCTGTTACATTTCCATAATTAATGCCAGGTGACGAGGCTGACACTGAAATTTGAAAGGTGTCCTCGGACTCGCTGAGATCAGTCATGTGATAGACGACGCGTCCAAACTGGAGGTCCTCGTGGCGGAATGTGGTGACCTCCTGGTCGTTAATAGCGATGCGTCCGTGGCGAGGGGGTGTGGTGACAGTGTAGGAGACAGTGGCCCGGCTCTGACCATTGGTTTGAGCTGCAAGCTGATTGGTTGTCAGGACCACCGCGGTCCGGCCTTGAATCAACGACAGGCCAGTGTTGTTCACAATGGACACCGAGGGCTTAATAACCTCCAAACTAAACAGCTTGTAGAGTGGACGGTGATGGCCGTCTGTTACGTTGAAGTAGAAAACTCCTGTTGAGGGGTCGCCCTAAGGGAGGAAACATTGAAAGGAAGAACAAAAGACACAATGCAGGAATTAGTAGTGGAAAAAACATAAACATGAACTTTATTCACTGCTTTGTTACCACAGAATAATGGCACCACTTAGCCAAAAAATAAGGCATATTGAGCATTAACGATGTCCAGCACTTTTTAAATCTCTGCACAATCACAATTACAACAATGTAAGTCTGACGCTATTTTTTTTTTCTAAATACATAACACTGACACATGTTTAGGCTTCACTGCTGCAGTAAACCTTCTTCACCTGCTGTATAAAATGCAGCCGGCCGTGGTTGACGTCGTACTGGGTGAATGAGGTCACCGGCTCCGGTCTTTCCCCCAGCGTCAGGTAGCCATTGTTGGGCTTACTTATCACGAGGTAGTGCAGCTCCTCTGGAGGAGTATCATGGTCCTCCACCTCGACATGGAAAAAGCGAAGGATTAAGAAATGATGTAAAAGTTTTGTAGACGTAAAAATAAATTGCAGCTCTACCTAAATTTATACTTGTCCTTTTTGCACTTACTCACCTGAAGACTGCTGGGTCCAAGTACGACTCTCTCCCCCACTACCACCTTCATACTGGGAGCCCTGCTTCTGATCAGTGGTGGCTGGTCATTGACTGGTGTTACTGTGATGTTGAACATCTCGGTCACCCCTGTGGTGTCTTTAACGTGATGATGAGAAACTGTGTCTAGTGATGAAAAGGGAGATGATGAAGCAGAGTACAGAGAGGAAAAGGAGCTGGAAGAAGAGGAGGAGTCAGAGGAAAAAGCCGACAAGGATGATGATGAGGAAGAAGAGGAGAGATCCAAAGGCGCCACCCAGGCCCGAAAAGTGAAGCTGTCACTTGTGGTCTCAGAGTCATCGTGGAAGTATGTGATGCCAAACTTGTTCAGGGTGACTTGTGAAAAATCTGGTTGGTTCCTGAGAAAAGACGATAACCCAAAAGCCATAGTTGATACTTTTGTTCATATTTACATGGATGCATGTATTTATATATATCAATCAACACAAGAAGAGAATAATAAGTGGCGCTGAATGTTCTGCATTGTCTTTTAAGTTGTCAAGGCTGAGGCCTATTGACTTCTCCTAAGTGATCATGATTCACTATAAATTGTAATTTCTCTTTGCCAGCATAAAAAGGATTTGTTAGGCAGCAGTCACTGGACTCTGTGACAATGGAAAAATCCAAGGAACTCAATGAAGATCTAAGTAGAAGAACTGTAGCTTTACACAAGTTGGGTAGGTCACTTGCAAAAAAATCCCCCAAAGAAACAACAACAAAAAACCCATCTACAAGCTGACAATGGAGAGACGCCAAACTGTGTTTCATTGTTCTGGTAAGAGTGACAATAAAGATCTATCTTATCTTATCTTGCAGCCATTTCTAAAAAACTGCAAAGTTCAAGATGATCAGTTCAAACAACTGTAGGTAAGTATAAGTTCTATGGATGTGTCACTACTTTGCCAAGCTTGGATGAATACCCAAACTGTCACCCTCAAATGAGAGGAAATTGGTTAAAATGTTCAGGAATGTTCAGGAACCACCAAGACTCAAGCCTGACATGAATGGAAACTGCTGAATGCCGGCGTCGCTGCCCACAATGAGACAGTTTGGACTAAGAAGGTGTAGAGCAAGAAAGAAGCCCCTGCTCGAAAATCAACACCTTCAAGTTCAACTAACATTTGCATCTGTTCACATGGACATGCCAAATGGCTTCTGGAGAAAGGTTTTATGGTTAAATGAGACAAAACCTGAGCTATTTGTCCAAGAGCTATGTGTGGAAGAGTAAAGGCTGGGCTTTGAAACCTATGATTATGGTGCCAACTATCAAGCATGGTAGCAGTAGCGTCACACTGCCAGTGGCAATGATATAATTGGACAAAGAGGATGGCATGATGAAGGAGGAACACCTACAAAGTCTTCGAGTTCACCTCAAATCAATAGCTAGGGAGCTAAAACCTGGACATGATTGGGTGGTTCTAACATGACAAATACACAAATACAGGATCCCAAACACCTCAAAACTGGTTTTAAAATTGATAAAGCAGGCTAACATTAAGGTTCTGGAATGACCTT